CCCCCCCCCACCTGCTCAGTATGGGGAGAGAGATGGACACAGCCAGAGGCAATCAAAGACAACAAACGCACTTCACAATACATGATAACCACTTCCTCCTTTTGTCCGTGACAAAAAAGAAAAAAAAAATGATGCGTGCTGCTCACGCCTCCCATCAGGCACACGCACACATTACATTTTCAGCGCATCGCCGCAATTCACGCAGGTCAGCTGTTTGGAATTCAACAGACCAAATTTCCCCAAAAGGTGAGCGATTTTCATGTCTGACCTTCCCTAAAAAGATGGGCTGTCATTTTGTTCAAAAAAGGGAAGAGTGAACCTCTAAAGCTCCGCTGTTGAATACGATGCAGTGGAAACTTTGGGTGCACCTAACTTTGTGCTGGTGTACCCCGCCCCCCCCCCAAAAAAAAAAAAAAATTGTAGCAAAATTTCAAATTCTCATATGTAATAAATAAGGGATATTTTATAAGTATTTGCTTGTTGTCAAACCCCTCATTACAGTGACTTCAATCGTTGAAAAACTATTGGCCCGCGACAAAAATGAGTTTCACACCCATTCACTCGTGGAACTCGTTCACTCTGTACTATGCAGTATTACCTTTATTAATTAAAGACTATTCCAGGTGACAGAGGTAAACCTCGGCTGTGGATGGGCACCTGGCAGAACCTTTAAGAGCCCATGTGAAATGCCCCCAAAGTAGCACTCTCAAAAAACTGCGGCCCATCAATTAAGTCGCTCGAGGCTGATCACCTGTCAGTCACAGCACTGACGCGGAGACAACCATTCATACTCGCATCCGCGCCGACGGCATGGAAAGTCTGTCATGAGTTGTCGCCTACCTTGAATGACATTCCTGATGTTCTGCACCAATTCCAGGTATGTCTCCCTCGTGTACCTGCGATTTGTAGCGCAAGAACCATCATGTGAAACGTGAATCTGGATTTCTGGTCATAAAATCTGTGCAACAAGACAGCCGCCCAAAGAAGAAAATTAACTCTCGAACTGAATGACTTCCACAGACAAAAATATGCATTCGAGGCTCGTCAGAGTCCTGACCTCAACCCAACTGAGATGTTGTGGTAGGATCTCAAGAGAATGAAATGTGCAGGTCGGAGCATCTGGTTTGGTGGAGGTTATTGTTGTCAAAGGTCCGACAGTAATATGAGTGATGCAGAAACAGGGTCATTGCGAAGGGCTTGCATACATTTTCCTGCAATTGTAAATATAGTGACTCACCCCCGGCGCATAGCTTTCAAGACTTGACTGCTCCCACTCTGAGCTGGAAGATGGATCTGCTTACAAATGTTTTCTCGCTCCGCAATCAGATGCAAAACCTACACCCCCCCCCCACACACACACACACATGCATGCCGCACACGCACACACGCACACGCACACACACACACACACTCGCGCGCCGACCAAGACAGAGAAATTTTTATTCAGGAAAAAAAGAAAACAAACATTCATACCTGGCTAGCAGGTTCAAGATTGCAACAACAATCTCTAAGGTACCTCATCAGGAAAGTCTTTCGGGTGAGGTGACGTGAATCGGATCCTCATGTTGGGATCGACCTGCGACACTCTGTCCAGCAGCTCAGAGAAACGCATGCCTCCCAGTTTTGGGCGGTACACGGTCTTAAAGCCACGACTCAGCTTGGTCGGAATGGCACCGCAGAACTGCTCATCAGAAGTGTCTCGGTAGCTGTTGACATTCTGACCGAGCAATGTCACTTCCTTCACTCCCTGGAAGGAAAGGCACCGCACATCGAACTCCACACTGATCGATCGAATCAATATTTCCACGTCCGAATCCATTCGATTTGAACTACTTTTCACGTGCCTGATTGGAGAGGAGACGGACTTCCTCGAGAATAGAGCTGGCAGGTCGACTCCTTTCGCGGCCCCGGGTGAAGGGAACAATACAGTAAGTGCACATATTGTCACAGGCCCCCGCCCCCCCCCCAAAAAAAAAAAAAAATTGTAGCAAAATTTCAAATTCTCATATGTAATAAATAAGGGATATTTTATAAGTATTTGCTTGTTGTCAAACCCCTCATTACAGTGACTTCAATCGTTGAAAAACTATTGGCCCGCGACAAAAATGAGTTTCACACCCATTCACTCGTGGAACTCGTTCACTCTGTACTATGCAGTATTACCTTTATTAATTAAAGACTATTCCAGGTGACAGAGGTAAACCTCGGCTGTGGATGGGCACCTGGCAGAACCTTTAAGAGCCCATGTGAAATGCCCCCAAAGTAGCACTCTCAAAAAACTGCGGCCCATCAATTAAGTCGCTCGAGGCTGATCACCTGTCAGTCACAGCACACACGCGGAGACAACCATTCATACTCGCATCCGCGCCGACGGCATGGAAAGTCTGTCATGAGTTGGCCTACCTTGTGAATGACATTCCTGATGTTCTGCACCAATTCCAGGTATGTCTCCCTCGTGTACCTGCGATTTGTAGCGCAAGAACCATCATGTGAAACGTGAATCTGGATTTCTGGTCATAAAATCTGTGCAACAAGACAGCCGCCCAAAGAAGAAAATTAACTCTCGAACTGAATGACTTCCACAGACAAAAATATGCATTCGAGGCTCGTCAGAGTCCTGACCTCAACCCAACTGAGATGTTGTGGTAGGATCTCAAGAGAATGAAATGTGCAGGTCGGAGCATCTGGTTTGGTGGAGGTTATTGTTGTCAAAGGTCCGACAGTAATATGAGTGATGCAGAAACAGGGTCATTGCGAAGGGCTTGCATACATTTTCCTGCAATTGTAAATATAGTGACTCACCCCCGGCGCATAGCTTTCAAGACTTGACTGCTCCCACTCTGAGCTGGAAGATGGATCTGCTTACAAATGTTTTCTCGCTCCGCAATCAGATGCAAAACCTACACCCCCCCCCCACACACACACACACATGCATGCACGCACACGCACACACACACACACACTCGCGCGCCGACCAAGACAGAGAAATTTTTATTCAGGAAAAAAAGAAAACAAACATTCATACCTGGCTAGCAGGTTCAAGATTGCAACAACAATCTCTAAGGTACCTCATCAGGAAAGTCTTTCGGGTGAGGTGACGTGAATCGGATCCTCATGTTGGGATCGACCTGCGACACTCTGTCCAGCAGCTCAGAGAAACGCATGCCTCCCAGTTTTGGGCGGTACACGGTCTTAAAGCCACGACTCAGCTTGGTCGGAATGGCACCGCAGAACTGCTCATCAGAAGTGTCTCGGTAGCTGTTGACATTCTGACCGAGCAATGTCACTTCCTTCACTCCCTGGAAGGAAAGGCACCGCACATCGAACTCCACACTGATCGATCGAATCAATATTTCCACGTCCGAATCCATTCGATTTGAACTACTTTTCACGTGCCTGATTGGAGAGGAGACGGACTTCCTCGAGAATAGAGCTGGCAGGTCGACTCCTTTCGCGGCCCCGGGTGAAGGGAACAATACAGTAAGTGCACATATTGTCACAGCCCCGCATGATGGACCTGCGGGACATCAGTGGAACAGATCATGTGAAGGAATCAAACGAGCAGGAAATGTTCCTGTGCACAAAACATACACAAAGGCACTGCGTCCCCGAGGAGAGTGGTGGACGGGCATGATGTCAGCGTAGGTCTCCTCCAACGAAAGCAGCACATTGCTTGCCTGTTGACCTCCCTCGGCCACCGCCAACAGACGGGGAAGATCCCGGTAGGCGTCTGGCCCGGCCAGGACATCCACGAGCTTCTCTCGTTCCAAAAGCTCCTTCTTCAGTCTCTCAGCCATGCAACCTTGATAGACAGACGCACGCAAACCACATTGGAATAACACGGCCAACACATATCGCTAATTATACCGTTGATCTGATTGACCGATATTTTGCATTTTATGCAAATTTTGCGATTAGTGCCTTACTTCCTCTTTTCGGCCATCATAGTTTGGATGTGTGAAGTGTTAGTCCAAAAGAAGCAAGTTACTTTAGGTCAAGCGATTACAAGGGAGACAGAATGCATACCGTACTTTACACTTCAACTGGTGAATTGGTTCAAAAATAGACGTGGTGAAAATTCAAACATAATTAACATGATTCTGCGGGGATTATTTTGACTTTGCTGAAAGTTGAAATCTTGGGGGAAAAAAAGTGTTGTCACTTTTTCAGTTTAGCAAAGCAGTATAATATAATCTAGCTAAATATAATGTTGCTGTAGGGTGGGGGGGGGGTGACAACACCTAAGATGCCAATTTTCATTGGTGTTGGACTCCTACGGCGCTTATTCTTCATGGCTGTCAGCTCTTGCAGTCTGTTCCAGATGGTTTGTTCGGCTTTTTCTCTGTCACACATGATTGAAGTTGAATAAAATCACAAAGCGATAGATAAGCAATCAGTTTCTAACATTTCTGGTAATCGTGATAATTTTTTGATGGGCTATACCTGATGGAGCATGTTACAAGAAGGACCACATCTGCCTGCAGATATAGATGACAGAAGATAAGTCATGATTGATTAAGTTATTAACTGGTGTTAAAACCGTGAATAACTCAAGCCGTACCTCGCGTAATTGTGCCGTGCGTTGATATCCGCTTCTCTGTAGTATGGACCAGGCAATATCCGTGTCATTGACATTCATCTGACATCCATAGGTTTCAAAATAGACTGTAAAAAGACAGAACATTGGGTTACATCTTCCCCAAAACCTCCAAAGTAACGTTAAGATTTCAATTTACCCTTTCGTGCATTCCCCAGCTCCAAGTCAGCAGAAAGATACTCGTGTATGTATTCTACTTCTTTGTCTGAAGTTGATGTGGTTTCATGACCAGTGAGTCCTCGTATGAAATCGTGAAAAGCTGGACCGGAAGATATTTGAGTCTTGAAATGATCCGATCTTCCCCGCTTTTCTCTTGCACTAACGACACTGCCGGTTGAATTACAGCACAGTCTGACTTGTAAACACCTGACAGGTGTCCAAAATTTGGGAGACGAAAACAGTTGAGTTAAATTCCTAAATTGTTTCATGTTTGATTTGTTTGCCTCTTGCTGTCCGCCAGACAAATGTTTCCCTCTGCAGTCCGTCTGCAATTACCGTCCGTCGAGTCAAGTAAATGCACGAATGTCCTTCATCGTCCTGTTGCAGGCTTTCGATTTCCGGTGTTAAGATCAAATGCCAAATTTAAATGAGACTAAGCGTCTAAAACTCATGAACTTCCCTTAACTGAGTTTTGATTTTTTTATACGTGTGTGTAACTGAGTTTTGATTTTTTTATACGTGTGTG